CCCCTCTGTTTTTAATTATTTTAAGTTGTTTGAAAAAATATTTGCGTAAAAGGAAATGTGAAACTACCTTGTGCAAGTGATTATGCAAAATACACAGAGGGAGAGGGGTGGGTTGTGGGTGGGTGGGCGAGGGGTGGGTTGCGGGTGGGTGGGCATGGGGTGGTCGGGCTGTAGAGGCAAGGAAAAAACAACAGAGGGAGAGGGAGAGCACAGGGAGGAGAGAGGGCAGAGGGGAGGGGGAGAGAGACAGAGAGAGAGTGGATTTTCATAAAAAAAATATATATATTATTTATTTATTTATTTAATCCACATGTCATGATGTGATTGGACATGTGGGCTCCACTTATTACACTTAACAAAATTTTTAACGGAGGGACCATTTGTGATAAAAAGCACTAACGTTAAGGACAATTAGTGTCACAAAAAAACCTCAAGGACCATTCGTGATAAAATCGTAAACTTTAAGGACCATTTGTGATAAAATGCCAAATTTATATAATACCCTATAGGCTTTTTATCACAAAACGTCCCTGACGTTTTCGAAATTATCAGATTGCATCCTTAAAGTTTTTTTGTATCACTAATGGTCTCTAACGTTAATATAGGTGCTTTTAAATAGTCATTCTGTCAAAAAAAAACTGTTAAATCCAGGGATATAATTGTCAAATCAATCTAAAATTATAAAATATATATATAAATTTCTCTCTCCCCTCTTTTTTTTATTTTTTTATTTTTTATGTTTCCTTTCCTTCTCTCTCTCTTTCTTTTTTTCTTCTTTCTTCCTCTCCCCGAGTTCAGTCTTATCTCTCCTCTTTCTTTTTTATTTCCTTCCCTTCTCTCCTTCTTTTCTTCTTCGTTCTCCTTTCTTTCCCCGAGTTCACTCTTCTCTCTCTCTTTCTTTTTTTCTTCTTCCTCTTGTCATGGGCATTTTTTTTCTTCTTCTCTCAGCTAGAAAACTGGGCATTTCCCCATTCTCTCTCCTTTATCTTTTTTTTTTCCTTCATTCTCTGAGAATGATTTGGGTACAATGTGCAAGGGTTGGTTTGGGGCAAAAAGTCACGACGTCGGCTTCTATTGGCCTCTTCTTCTACCTTTGTTCAATTTTTATTTTTATTTTGGAAAAAAGCTGAAGAAAAAGAGAACAAAAAAATCCACAGACACAAACCCATTCGCAGGAAAATGAGCAACGACGATGGTAATCGGAATAGGAATAAGAAAGGCCAGTGGACACCGCCAAACAGACCCTACCAGGAGAAAGAGGAAGACATGAAGATTTGGGGAGAGAAAGAAGAAGGAGGAAGAAGAAAAAAAAGAAAGACAGAGAAAGAGAAGAGTGAATTCGTGGAGAGAAAGAAGAAAGAAGAAGAAAAGAAAGAGAGAAAGAAGAAGACAGAAAGAGAGAAGGAAAGGAAATAAAAAAAGAGAGGAGAGAGGACTTTTTATAATTTTGGATTGATTTTACGATTCTATCCCTGAACTTAATAGTTTTTTTGACAGAGGGACTATTTGAGAGCACCTATATTGACGTTAAGGACCGTTACTGATACAAAAAAACTTTAAGGATGCAATCTGATAGTTTCACAAACGTCAGTACGTTTTGTGATAAAAAGCCTACCCTATATATACATACCAGTGTTTTCAAAGGCATGCCTTTGCGCGCATCGGCGAGCGAGGCAGCAGGAAATCGCCCGAGGCTGTCGGCTGTTTCGCGAGTTGCACGTTTAGCGCAGGGAAGGTGTGAGGAGGCGTTGCAAGGCGTGGCTAGGTGGAGCGAGGCGTGCCAGATCTGGACACTTCTGAACCGGAAGAAATTTTGCGAGTCTGCAAATTGGCTGTGACTCTGCGAGGAAGACGACTTCACGAGGAAGACGACTCACGTGTTTTTTTTGCTGAGTTCATCACAAGCCTTTCTCTTTAGTGTTTCCCTCGCTTTCTTTGGCTGTATTAGGCCAAAATGAACTGCTGATACAAACAATAATCAGGCATTTTCATGAGAACCAGACGAGGGAGTAGGAGGCCACCCTCTCATTCGATTCAGTCACAATATCTGAGATCAGGAACATGATTATCTGCAATAAAAGAAAAAGATTTCCTGTTATTTATTAGAGAATCAACCATACACTTAATAAGTACAGAAATAAACGAGTAACTGGATTTGATGTTTTAATATCAGTTGCTTACTCAGAAAGTGCAGTGATCTCTCAAGACCTGTCGAGCAAGATCAACTGCTCCACTCTTTTTGTATATAAGATGCAAATTAAAAGCTGCTTCTCTGCGAAGGTCACAGTAACCCGGTAATTGATTTTCAACAGACTCTGGCTTTTCATGGGGAAGTTTTGGGATGGGGTAATCCTTCGCATGCATTGCAAGAACTTTGTCATAGTGCCAAGCGGCCAGTGTCACAAGACCGACGTGATGGTATGCCCTGGCTATGTTGAAAAAAGCCTCTTGGCTGAATTCACAAAGCTGCAAATTTTTGTGGAGGAATGCTAAGCCTTGTGCAACACACTGGTGCCTATTCTGAAGTCTGTGTCCAAGGGCCAAGTTGATTAAGGCAGTACCGACACACAGATTAATCAGGGGATTCTCTGGCAATAATTTATAAGCTTCAAGGTATTCTCTTGCAGCATCTTGATGACGGCTCTTTTTAGTAAAATGATGCCCAGAAATGATACTCGGAGGTACACAGTCTTTGAGTTTGTCTCGCTTACCACGTAGAAACTTATAATGCCTCGCATACCAGTCATCTAATCTGGTAATTACTTTGTAATAGCAGTTCCAGGCAGCATTGCTGTATGGATGCTGGTCTGCAATGTATTTTACACAGTCAACCCCATGCTCAGGATCTGGAGTGTTGTATGCAATTTGAGCTCCAAGAGACCGGAGTTCCTCCTCAACAGAACACATGTTGCGAGTCGATTTCAAAGCAAGATTTATAATCTCCAATGCTTCGCAATATCTATGCAAGGAAGCCAATGACTTGCACAAATCTATTATAAGGCCATGATTCTCTTTATCCTTGAGAAGATCTGGCAGGGGAGGTTCTTGGTGTATTTCTTCTGGAGGATCATCACCTGAATCATCACTTTGCCAGTCAACTCCAGCAGCCATTGCCTCAGCTCTCTTTTCTTCCTTTACTTTTGCCTTCTTTTGAAGCAACTTCTTCGCTCTGGCAGCTTTCAGCAGATCCGATGCAGGAGCTACTGGTCTAGATCTGCATAATAGGTTATCTGTTTGGTGATCATCCAGGACTTTCACTCTTTCTAACAGAACACTTTTTGTGAGCCTCTTTTTCACTTTCACCTTTTGCTGAAGAGATTCGATACGTAACGACTCATGTACCAAAGGATAGATTGCATCGACAAATTCCTTGAGCATCCCTTTAGCTCTGTATATGTAGCAAAGCTTCAGTTTCACTTTCCCATTACACCACCATGGTTCCGATTTATTTGTTTGGGCTTCAAAGCGATCTAGATTTTTTGGAGGAGATAGCAACAAAATGGCTTCATCTTCTCTGGCTTCCTCAAGAAGAATAGAAGCCAATGTTAATCGGATCTCAATATTATCTTCAAGTGTCTTTACAGCTTCATAGAACCACAAAATTGCCTGTACTCTGTCATTCAAGGACAAATGACATCGAGCAATTTTCATATGTAAAAAGCCTTTATTATATTTGGTGTTTCCTTTCAACATTAAATAATACTTCAATGCAGAACTATAATGCCCAAGACTCATAAATGAGTCTGCGACTTTAGCAATCAAGTCA